GGACTCTGCCTGACCCTTATCTTGCTCCATTTGAAGAATAAAAGCTCTTACGATGGAAAGAAACTGTAAATTTTTTGTATTAAGCCCCTTAGGGTATAAATTGGCCCCCAGGCTTACAAAATGGCCGCTCACCTCATGGTGGAAGGCTTCAATCCAAGATGGCAGCTGACTATGGGAAACAGGCTCCGAGATTGAAGAATTTCTCAGGCTATAAAGAGCCCCGGGTGAAGTCAGCAAAGGGCAGCCTCTGGCCACACGATCAGCTGGCTGACGCTGGTGTCGGTTTGCCAATTGCTTTTTACGACCGCTCAAACCACAGGCATGGGGGAGGTCTACAGACGCTGCCCAACTTGCCTGAACAGCACTCTGGCAACGCTGCTCCCAACGCTGCAGGAGAGAGAGCCCTGCTCTCCTGGAAGAGCAGCTGCCCAGATCCTGGGAGCTGCTGAAGCGAGGAAAAAAGGTACTGAAGATCGCTGGTGAGTGCTATCTACAGAACCTCAGCTGGCTGAAGCTGTTATCGGTTTTTACGACCGCTCAAACCGGAGGCGTGGGGGAGGTCTACAGACGCTGCCCAACTTGCCTGAACAGGGCTCTGACAACCTGCTCCCAACCTTGCAGGAGAGAGAGAGAGAGCCCTGCTCTCCTGGAAGAGCAGCTGCCCAGATCCTGGGGGCTGCTTGAAATGAGGAAAAACGGCACTGAAGATCGCTGGTGAGTGTTATCTAACAGAAGCTTTCAGAGACACAGCTACTGACTGAAAGGAGCTGAGTCAAAAGCTGGGGTCTCTTCCAGGGGCTGGCTTTTATATCTTAGTACAGACTCAGCTAAATGACATCATAGGAAGGAGTCAACCCATCCTGGGCTCTCGGTGCAGCATGGAGGAGAATGTTTAGAAACAAAATAGATTTTTTCCTGATGAATTATATGTAACTTCAAACAATTTTCAGTATCTGATTGCTTCAGTTACCAAAAATACGATTCCTACACTTGTAATTCCTCTGTTCTGTAAAATTCAGGAGGCTGAAGTTTGTCATGGCTCCTATAGTACTAAACAAGCCTTTACATGAAAGTTCAACCTTCCCCCACATTGACAATTTTCTGGATGCAAGTTGAAGACAGAGATCTTCCACATAGTTTATTTCATTTATTGTTAAGATGGAACCATCTTTTACTGTTTTCTTTTATCAGGAATCCAATTTTAAATTGTACGTTGGCTTTAATATACCATTATGTTTCATTGTTCATTTTATAACTTTTTGTACCCTACCAAGTCTCATAATTATAGCTCTATAAAATTAAATATATCCCAATACTACACATTCAAGTGATTATATAAGAGCAAAATATAGTTGTGAAAAATGAAATGATGTTTAAAGTATGTTGTCATCTTTAACATGCCAATATATTCAGTGCAATTCATTTTCAAACTAGCTAGCAAAATTGAACTGATAGTACACTAAACATTTTGCAACATGGCTAGCTTTACAATCTTATAAGAAGCAGCTGCATTCTCAAGCGGCTCATCTTTTCCACTTAGCTGCATTTGAGCAAGGGAAACTGCAAAACTTGTTTTTCCAGATCAGTTAGAATCAACTGACATTTTGGTTTTTCTTTTGCCAGAATGACCTTCACAGTAATAATGCACTAGATTATTGTAAAATCAGTTTAACAATTTTAAGAACTCATACCTGGATTTGCCTGCTTTCAAACTCTTTAGCATTTTTACTATTAGATTATAGGCTCATGGCAAGGATTGTCTTTAAAAAGCAATGCACATTTCAAAATACTAGTACTCGACTTACAGCAGTTCACATAATGACCATTCAAAGTTACAGCAGCACTGGAGTGACTTATGACCATTTTTCACACTTACGACCATTGCAGTATCCAGTCATGTGATCAAAAATCGGTTGCTTAGCAACTGACTCATATTTATGACAGTTGCAGTGTCCCAATGTCATGTGTTCATTTTTGTGACTTTCTGACAAGCAAAGTCAATGGGGAAGCCAGGTTCACTTAACAACCATGCTATTAACTTAACAACTGCAGTGATTCACTTAACTGTGGCACAAAAGTTTGTAAAATGGGGCAAAATTCACTTAATGTTTCGCTTAGCAACAAAAATTGTGAGTTCAATTGTGGTCATAAGTTGAGGACTATCTGTACTGTACATTTTTACATGTTCTATGCATGAACCGTTCCATGCTCAGAATATATGTTTTGGGGTGATCTGTGTCTGAACTAATGGACACTTATGTCCATTAGTGTTTGGGAGAGCAGGGTCAAAGAAGAACCAGGAAAAAAAACCATACTGACTGCAGCATTGTCACTATCCTTGAGGTAGAGAAAAGGAGGCATTAAAATGATTGGGGGAGGGGGAGCAATCTGGTTGTTCTTGAATTCAAGTACATTGATATCAGCTAAGGAACAGTAGTGAAAGGAAACTGCTTGAAGATCAATTAGTAGAACGGTATACAGGCCATGCATAAACCCAGAATGGTATAAAATTGGTACAAATCATTGGTATAAGTTTCAAATGGATTTCACTTTGGATTTATGAAAGGGATGAAGAATAGAAACTGAAATATAAAGTATACATTTGCCTGCACTGCAGAAGACTTAAAAAAGGAATTTGTAGCCTTGAAGTTAGCTTTCTATTGACTAAAACCTAATCGAAGTAGGAGGTCATAAAAGAAATCACTTTTAGGAAATTTTAATAAAAATGTTGCTTGTGTGGTAACACACAAAAGACTGCATAAAAAAGCAAATAATGGAGCAATGAAATAGTAGGACAGGATGCTTGAATGAAGTACCTTAACCCAAAAATATTGAAAAGTATCAAGGGCTATATTCAACTTACTAAACGTCTTACATCATCCTATTTTAAGGAGTATCTTTTCTGGTTGTAATTTTTGGATGGGTCATGTCTGAGGAAAAAAACCAATTATTTTGTTTAAATCAAAACAGACAGAAACAGGAACTTTTCCACTTTGATCAGTGTATATCCTTTTTAATACTGAAAAAGCAGGTCTCTAGTTACATTGCTTTCTTTTGTTTGGATGAGCCTCTATATGAAATTATCTTGATTACCCCAACACCACTTTCAATATTAATCCTTTTTTATTAGGGCTCATTCACGTCCAAATCTGCCGCTAAAGCTCTTTGGAGGTTCAGCAGGGCTTCTCTGAAACCACCTTCACCTTCTCAGCATACGCGTGGAGCATACATGTGCATGAAAATCTTTCTACTGGAACTGCTACTTCAGTGAAGTGGAGCTTGTCTTCTATTTCAAAGTCATCTGATAGCAGTGTTCCAGCTATATCACCTATGTCAAATGATGCAGTTTTTCCTTCCAGCTTCAAACAGAAAGTCCATCCCATAGAAGCAAGTATGAGTAACTTTGTAATAAAATTGGAGCACGAACTGTAATTCATAAATATTGCTTAATGTGATTATATACCAACTCTCCAGATAGCTGAAGTTACAGATTTCATTGATAGGGTTCAGTCATTTCTTATTAGGATACAATTCACCCAACAGAGTATATATTGCAGAATAATCATTAGATAAATGTAAGGAAAAAATTAAAGAAGTCAAATATCTAGTGGATAATAGCTAACCTGTATCTGGATGGCTACAGCAATATCCATTGCGACATGTCCTTGTCTATCAATCAAAGAACCAGTTTCTTCCTTACTGAAACCATCAGGAAATGCACATTGCTGAATATTTATAGAAAAGACTATCACAAACTCTCAAAATAACTTTAAACACCTAATACAAAGTTTGTTATGGAGTACATTGCCAGTGTACGAAAGATTGGAAGAAATTTAGTATTAGGAAACTAATATTCAGGCTAATGGAATATACATAAGGTTATAGGTCATGTAAAAGGGAAAATTACATTCCAGAAGTACTACCCAACCAGTATTATTCAGCCACGGCAAAGAAATGAAATCCAAATGTTTTTATTGTTCCAGGTTTTGGCCAAAATCCAGATGGTTCCAGTGATTTTATGGAATGAGTAAAACACACGCCTTCCTCTCCTGTCCACTCGATTTCCCAGCCTCTTCCTTTCCTGCCTCCTCTCAGACACCACTGATGTCCCATGCATTACTTATCAAATCTACCCAATGCCTTCCCTTCCTTCTCTCTGCTACCAATCTATTGTTGCTACCAATCTCCACATATATGATTGCCAAAGAAACCCCCTCAGCCTTGGCTTTTCCCTGCTCCCCTCATCCAAAACAAACTCTTCTGCCTGCATCAATTGCATTTTGATCTGCTTCCAGAAAAAAAAAATACAACACTATTTTATTCCTCATAACTGAAGCACACTTAAAATGGTTGGGCCGCAAAGCAACCAAAAGTTGTTGTTCTGTGTACAGAACAATTAATGCACAGAATGTTTTCTGCATATCTAGTTGCAGTGCTTATATTAGGCACCTCCTATACCTCAAGTGATATACCTCCTACACCTCAATGCTCTAGAAATGAGACAATGTAGCATACATTGAAAAGAACTTTCACAACAATTATTTTGCAGCAGCTGTTTAGGAGAGCACAGAGAGAATGTAATTTTCCCAGAAGATGCCTGATAGGACAATTAGTGGATTGCTTGAAATGCTATTACCAAAAACTACCCTAATCTAATGAAAGTGTGTAAACAAATTTGCGAAGAAATAACTGAAAGAGGACCAAAATTCTTACTTCAGATAAAATCAACTGAATATTTGACAATACCAAAACCTATTTCTATAGCCTTGAATAGTAAAAAAGAAAAATATGTTTTATTTCAGATGGTGTGAAAGTTATGTAACTTTGAAAACAAAAAAAGGAAATGACAGTTTGCAACTACATTATCATAATTAAAACAATCCATGAAGCATTCTATGTGCAGAGTAATCTATTCTGGCAAAAGTGTTTTGGAGGAAGTGAAAAAGCTAACAATGGCAACTAAGGCTAATGGCCAAGCCACCACATAGGATGTGCAGAAGAGAAAGTGTCAAGTTACCAGTGGTTAAAAGGTAGGGAAAGGAAGGCACTGCGAATGTCAGCAAATGGGCACAGGCAATGGCTGGGAGGGGGGCAAGGTATGTTTACCTTTAATTTAAAAAAGAACTCATATTTTTCTAAGTGAAAAAAATTGAATTTAAGTTACATCAAATACAAATAATTGATTTAATTTGTATGTAACATCTGAATTCCTTAACAAGCAATTGCAAAGTAGCCACTAAAAACCTTGTGTCTTGTAATATCCACCAGTGTCCCAAATCATAGAAATAAAAAAAAAACTCATACAAATCTTAAAACACATTCATAAAAGGAAAAGATTTAAAATCTATCTGCTCAGTCTTATAGTTGAGGCTTTTATACTTATTTAGGATTTTTAAGAAATAAGACAGTCTGAAATAGACAGTCAAGGTACCAGTTATTAAAATAAATAGGTATATGTTCTTAATAAATCATGTTTAATCATCATTATCAAAAAGTTCTATGTGGTCATGTTATTCCCCATTTTAGAAAGAGCCATCTAAGCAAAACTAGTACCATTTTAGGCATTTCCTGCTTCTGGCTAATTCCTCTTTGCATGGACCACAGTGTATCTATATATAAAAGCACAAGCAACATATTCTAATCCATTAGACAACACCTCGCCAAGATAAAACACTACACACAGAGATCCTGAGTATCCCAGCTTCCTTTGCTTTAAATATATTATTTATTAGATTTAATATAACTTGCCTATCAAGTAGCCTCTGGGTGGCTTACAGAGCATAATTAAAACATGCATGGTATTATTTTTTTGACATATTACATGTAGAGAAATGTAAAAAGATAGAGGAAAGAAGCAAGGAAAGAAGTGTGCACTAATCATATTAGTGTTTTCTATTTCCTAAAGGAAATGTTTGCATTAATACCAAACACAGTTGATAAAGGGAAATGCCACATTGCAAAAAATGTTGGGAATCTTTTTAGAAATGAAATTCAACATGGTCTAATCATACAATTGATATATGTCCTTAAAATTTCCAAAATGGTATGTTTTATGTTCAGCTTCTCAAATAGAATATGATACATTTTTGCAATACAATGTTCAACATGCTCAATTAAAAGAAGTTAATGTGCAATAAAGGTAACCCAAGAATTTCAAGCTGCCACTTAATTTCTATATAAGAATTATAGATCAAGAGCCTGAATTTCATATGTTTTGGAATTATTTAAATTATATTATATACCTATCTCCTTGGAAATCTCATATTACATAATTATTTCCTCAAGTAAATTGTTATAACAATGCAGTCTTAAACAAAAAAAGTAGTAATATACACAATATTCCTATATTCAGCAAGGCTTGAAAATAAATTTTAACATTTGTTTAGACCTAATGGTCACTACCAATAAATTCACAATTCATTATACTTAAGATACTTCCCTGCTTAGATAAATGTGAAGAGAGATTGTAATATTACTAAATCAGAACAGAATATGTACACAAATGTTTCTAATCCCGTTTTCTTGCCAAAACTGACACCTTAGGCAAACAACGTTCAACTCAAATATTAGTGTGAAAATTATGTTCAGAATAATAGAAATCCTCTCAGAAAATGGTACCTAAATATATTGCTTCTCAAAAACCACAATATACACTTCAATAAATGTTAAAAACAGTCAATGGAGCGGAAGCTATTTTTTGGATGCTTTTATTGTTGTGTTGCCTTAACTATTTTATAGTTTTAGAAGCAGCTTTAGAAATGGAATAAATAAAACACTGGTGTATCAAGACAGCAGCACAAAGGCCAAGTTACCAGCAGCTCAGCCATTGCAGTATTTCAACATTTTATCAGCCCAAACTACAAAAAACAAAAAAAACCAACAAGGTCTAGTAGTTAGTAGCTCCATGGCGACGAGAGAGGAGAGTTCCAATCAATTAGTTAACAAGACTTCATCAGCTCAAAATCAAGCTCACACTTGGAAGCTTTGTCAGCCGTCACTCCCGGCAGTGCAATACACTATTTTGCTGCTCGAAAAAAAAAAAAAAACCAACCACCACCGCTTGAAAAGATTCGAGTTTTGCCGTCTTTTCTCCGGCCTGTCTGCCACCTTTTAACTTTAGGGCGGCGCTCTCGATTTCCTGGTTGTGTTCCTCTCCGGTGGCTGGAAAGGCGTGACGCGCTTGGACAACAACTCGCCTCGCTCTCGGTGGGGAACCTCCCATCCTCGAGAACAGGCTCGTCTGCTTGGCAAATTGTGCTTCTCCTATATACAACCCCCACCCCCAACATTTGTTTGCACTTCTGGGCCAAGCGCACAACTCTCCTATAGCAGAACTCTGAAGTCGAAAAGCCACACCTGATAATCGCGGGGGGGAGGGGGGGAGGAAGAGGAAGCCAGAGGACTCTTTCGCCCTTTAATTGTCGCAATCGAAGAGGAAGAGAAAGCGGGGTGGGAAGGGAAAAAGAGAGAGAGATCGACTGCTTTTTATTTTTATATATATATATTAAAAATAAATATATTTTTCTCTCTTCTCCGCCTCTCCCCCACCGGAGCTGGCTTTTCTTCTATGGGAGACAAAAGGCCACCGAAGGACCCAATTCCAAATTGCGCGAGAAGTTTTAAGGGCTGGGTTTTAATGGGCGCCGGCCGGCCACACCTGAGGAAAGTTAAGATCGCGTCTCGATTTTCGCCTCGCCCTCATCAAAGGAGGGGAGGGGAAGGAAGAAAAAACCGCCGCCACCGTGGAAAACCCGGTTTCTTTCTTCCTCGCTTTCTTCGCATGTCTTACCGGGAAGCGAGGCAAAAACACACACACAGAGACACACACTCGGGGATCGCTCGCTGCCCGGGTTCCGAGGAAGGGAGGAGGAAGAAAACAAGGAGGGGCGGCGGGACTCGATTCTCGACGACTCGTCCTAAGTCCTATTCCGGGGTGAGGACTTCCAAGACCACAGCTTCCGTCACCCGCGCCTTTGGGGGAGTGGACGATGAGCATGGTAGTCCGAGGTATACCCGAGGGCAGGGGAACGATGCCCCCGCCCCACTCGTTTCACTTCCTCGCCTAATAGCCGGACCGAGGTCTCATTTGCTCCCTCGCCCTCTTCCCTTGGCGTCTTACTCCGCCTGCCCCGTCGCCTAGTAGCCCCCCACCCACCCAAGCTGTGCATCTCCGGAGCCTCGGTAGTCGCTACCGAATGCAGGACGGCCACGCTAAACCGAAGGGGAAGGAGGAAGGGGGGGGTTTCCTTTCGCCTCCTCTTCCTCCCTCCTCCTCCTCCTCCTCAGCGAGCGGCGGGGAGAATCCGCAACGGCCGGGGCGAGGCAGGTACTCACCCATCCATGGCAAGACAGGAGGAAGGAAGCGGCGAGGGACGGGACAGGGTGAGGGGGAAGGGAAGGGAAAGGGAGCCGAACAGCCGCTCTCTGAGGAAGAAAACGAGAAAAAGGAGGGGCGGACGGGGGGGGCGGGGTTGCCGGCGGACGCGCATGCGTGACAAGATGTTCGACGCCCTGCTTTTCGCCTCCGCCTCTTCTTTCCCCGC